TTTTGGGGTTATCATGTGGCTAAAGAAGTCCCCAGGCAGTTGACTCAAAACCCATAACTGGCATATTTACATGTGACTTGTGCTAAAGTACATAAATGAATAACCCCTGTCCCTTTCCACCCAAGCTGAACTTGGATGGCTTCGTGGCTGGGTTCTAATTCTATATCCTCAGCCACTGTGAATTCCCTGAATACTTTGGCCTTGCTATCCCCAAGGGGAAAAAAATCCCCTGAGTTGGGCACTAACTTAGTCTCCAGGGACTAATGTTCCCTTACCTCCCTCCTGGACTAAGCTAAAACCCCCACATGTACCCAGTAGCGTGTACTTCCCAAAGCATGATCTCATTTGAATTTCATAACAATCCTGCAAGGCCAGCAAATCAGGGATTATTATCCCTATTTTCAGATGAGGAAACTAAGGCTCTGAGAAGCTAGGCAACAACCAAGGTCACACCAATAGCAAGTCCTCTGACTCCAAACCTAGCACCCAGGCTAGAAGGGGAGCCTGCCCCTTCACCTTTCACAGACTTTCCCAGTCTCATGGGGAATATGGGAGGAGACTCAGATGGTATAATGAGATGGGAAGGGTCTGTGCCCATAGAGCCTGGCGAGAGAATTAGGTCATGATTATGCTGTCCCCTTCTTTACTTTTTAATTTTTTAAGATTTATTTACTTTAGGGGGGCAAGGGGAGAGGAAAAGAATCTCAAGCAGACTCCCCACTGAGCACAGAGCCAATCCCACAACCCTGAGATCATGACCTGAGCCGGAACCAAGAGTCAGATGCTCAACCCACTGAGTCTCCCAGGTGCCCCATGCTTTCCCCTTCTGAAAGGGATGGGGGTGGGGAGTAAACTAACACTTCTTGAACATCTACTAGGTGCCAAAATGTATTAGGAACCTTACATACATGATCTCATTTAATCCTCATGAAACTCTGTAAGGTAGGTAGTCATTTTCCAGAGGGAGAAACTGAGGCTCAGAGAGTGGCACACCAGGTCTAAAGTCACACCGTGTTTAAGTAATGGAGTTAGAACTTGGTCCTGGTTCTGACTCTAAAGCCCATTCTGTGCCCCCTTCCCTTGGTATGTTAGCCATTGCCTTGGTACCCATCCAGCTGCTACAGGAAGCTTGTCCATCACGGGCTTTTTTGAGTGGCCTTCAGAAATCGGGAAACTGAGAGGAGGGAGGAGAATAGAGAACCACAAGGGAGGTTAGAGTTCCAAGAGTCTGTGGAAGAAAGCAGATTCCTCCCAAGAACTGTGAGCAGGGTCCCTCCCTCTTTCCTTCCTCTCCCTCTTTCTTACCGCAGCCTGGCTGGGGGATGGGAATCATGGCCCTGAAGGGCAGCCTCTTGGTAGATTCAAAGCTGGAGGCAGTGCCACAGAGGCCCACATCCTGGGTCACCTCCCACTCAGAGCCACAAGGAATCTGGATGAGAATGCCAACATTTTTCTAAACCACCAGATTTCATTGCTACTTCCCTTCCCAAACCTCCTCCTCTCGTCTCCTCACCATTAGCTTCAGAGATGCAACTTCTTTCCCTGACTAGAAAGCCAAAGAATCAGACTCCTGAAGTGGGTCCTGACCTACAGAGATTATTAGGTCCATCCTTCCTGCCTTTAGTTATGATTCATTTAGACCACCGGGGGTCTCTCTCTTGTTCTGTGCCAGCTCAAAAGGATTAAAGACATTCCATAGCCTTCCTCAGGTAACTTTCCAGCACTGTATTTCTCATCATTAGGGTTCTCTTTATAATACCTAACTTTAGTTCCTGATGCCAAAACTTTGCTGTTTTGACTTTAGTAGAAATGGGGAAAGTCAGCTACTCTTCTGGAAACCAGCAGTCATACACTGTCTTTAATGGCTGGCCCAATTTTCTAATTCCCCAGGGAATAGTGAAGGATGAAAGACAAGGTAAAGCTAAGGTGGCAGGGTATTGGAGGAAAAGTCACGAACAATGTAGAAAATTATAGGCCTAGTGAGGAGACCTATTAGGCCCTTGGTTATCCTGTTGTCATCTCCATCACCATCATCAATTGTTCCAGTCTTCGTCACTATCACCATTACCACTGCCGTGACCATTTCTATCCTCATTGCCATTTTTATTGCTATCACAACTATCAGCATCATTGCCATCACCATCACCTTCTCTACCACTATCACCACCACTGCCTCCACCATTACTGTCAACATCACTAACACCCATCAGTCACCACCATCACCACCTCTAATATCTCAAGAACTTCCACCATCATCACCACTTTCTTTTTCTTATGATTTATTTATTTATTTGAGAGGGGGTGGGCAGAGGGAGAGAATCTCCAAGCAGACTCCCCGCTGAGCACAGAGCCCAATGCGGGACTTGATCTGACCTGAGCCGAAACCAAGAGTCGGGACGCTTAACCGACTGTGCCACCCAGGCGCCCCATCATCATCACCACTTTCACCACCACCATCACTACCTCTACATTACTATCTCCACTTCCAGCAGTTATTACCATTGCACCTCAACCATCATCACCCTCATTCTCTCCCTCACCACAATGTCTATCTCTAACATAATTCTCATTACCTCCACCACCATCATCATCTTCATTATCATCCCTACGTCTATCACCATTACCAAGTGCATTAACACCATTGCTGTTACCACACTTACCATCACCATCATCACCTCTATTGTCTTCCTCACCATTACCTTTACCACCACCATCGATGGTATTATTATTAGCACCTTCATTACCACCATCAACACTGTCACTATCTTTATTGGCGGTGATATTATGATCATCACCACCACTTCTATCATTAATGGAATGTATTGTTGTGGCCCCTGCCTCCAAAAGCCCATAAAAAATTGATAGGTTCGGGGTGCCTGGGTGGCTCAGATGGTTAAGTGTCTGCCTTCGGCTCAGGTCATGATCCCAGGGTCCTGGGATCGAGCCCTGCATCGGGCTCCCTGCTCAGCGGGGAGTCTGCTTCTCCCTCTCCCTCTGCCTCTCCCCCTGCTCATGCTCTCTCTCTCTCTCTCTGTATCTGTGTCTCAAGTGAATAAATAAAATCTTTAAAAAAAAAAAAAAAGAAAATTGATAGGTTCTCAGACAAAAAGCAAAGAGGAGGAGGCCAGAGACCAAAAGTGTGCAAATTTGGAGATCCCCAGATGTCCATCTCAACTGTGGCCAACAAGGTCTCCCCATTCAGGGGTGCAGGTCTACCCTGGAGAGTGCAGGGAAGTGGGCAGGACTTCAAACCTACAGTAGCAGATGGTAAGGGCAGCCAGCCATGTACTCCCTGAGTATATGGCAGATCAGCCTCAGCTGAGCCTCAGAGGTGACTAAAGGCCAGGCTAGGCTAGATGGTGTCCTAAGAGACCGAAGCCGAAGGAGAGGCCCCGAGGGTAGGCTGAAAATGCCATGAAAGGGAGCTAGGGAGCTGTTGAGTGTCTGGCTTTTAGACTCAGTCCCAGGTTGAGGAGGATCTCTTCCACAGATCGAGGTGTCCCTGAATCACTCTGGAATTTTGGTCACCTTCCATATTCTCAACTACAAGCCCTGTCACTGAGCATGAAACAGCCCCTGTGATTTATAGAGAAGCTGCAATGCCTGGCCTCTGTTCTCTCCCTTCTCTAACCCGGCCTCACCTCTTCCACCCCCTTCTCCTAGTACCCCCTGCAAACTTGCCCTGCTTCCTGGTCTCTTCTCCAGACTGCTTTCCTGGCTCCCTGCTGTCTCTTCCTCACCTCTCTAGATTTCTCCTCCCCTCCCTTGGGCAGGCAGGGCTTTGAAATGCCTTGAGTGAGAGCCACCGAGGGTCCTAGGAGAGACTGTTTCTTAAGCTAATAGGCTGCCCTATCAGGGATTGTTTCCTGAATCTCCAGCTAAATTATCCTTTGCCCACTTTCATCCCATTAATCCGGCTGTTGACAGGGGAAGAGGCTCATTAAGTCATCATATCCATACACCGGAGTCTAGGCTTCTCTCAGCTCCCTCTGTGCGCGCATGTGGCCTTGACTCCTGCTTCCAGGCTTCCCTTCTAGGTGGGCAGTCCCAGGGTCTGCCAACACCTCCAGCCTCTCCCATCCTTCACACACTCTGCTCCACACTGGCACGCGCGCACGTGCGCACACACACACACACACTCACACTCCCCACACAGTACATACACCCCTGAGAGCCAAGCTCTCCATGTACTAATCATCATCATCATCAACAACAATTATCAGCTGTGGCGCACTCACCATGTGCGAGGTCATGCGCCGGTTTTGCTACATTAGCACATTTTATGCTCTCTACATCCCTGTGAGTTTGGCATTGATAACCTCCCCCTGCTTTAAAAAAAAAAAAGATTTTATTTATTTATTTGAGAAAGAGAGAGCACGAGTTGGGGGGAAGGGCAGAGGAGGAGGGAGAAGCAGACTCCCCGCTGAGCAGGGCGCCATGATGCGGGGCTTGATCCCAGGACCCTGAGATCATGACCTGAGCCGAAGGCAGCCGCTTAACCGCCTAAGCCACCCACGTGTCCCAAATCCCCACCTGTCTGCTTTTTCACAGGTAGGAAATGGGAACTTAGGTGAATTCGGGGACCAAGGTAACACCATGAGGAAGTAGGAAGCTGGGATTCAAATCCAGGTCAGTCAGAGCTTGTGCGTTGAACTCTAGGCTACTGCACTTCCCTGCTTACACTCACTCCCATGTACACATACACAGCAGCATGCCATGCACATTTGTGCCCACATACCAAGCACATGTAGTACACACGCTCATAGAGCACACACTCCATACCCAAAGGGCACACATTCCATACACTCCTCACAGAAACACGCACACACACGAGACACAGAACATACTCCCAGGAAGAATGCTCCTATTCAGTCTAGTCATCTGATAGACACTGATTGAACATCTACTGTGTTCCCACCTGAGCAGCTCTGCCCCATGTTAGGCACTATGGTCATCCAAGAGAGGAAGAAAATGAGAAGGTCTTGAGTGCCTACCATATGTCAGAGGGAGTCCACGGTCACAGGAACATGTGCGAGGCTTCGCATGCATTTGCGTGTGCACACGTGTGCACGCGCACACACACACACAGTCACTCTAGCTCGAATCAGTCCTGGGCCTGCCCCTCTGGGGGCTGTGAGACCTGGGGAAGACATCAGGGACAGGAATCACGCTTGGTATTGGTACTGAGGGGAAGTGGACAGGCTGGAGGTTACAGAGTCCTCTAAAATTAGGTCTTAAGCCTCCCAGACTGCCCAACTTGGGAGAAAGGGACGTCAGAGGTCTTCCCTCCCTGCCCCTACCGATGATTCATACTTGTTAACAGAGGAGGTTCAGACTGGGAAGTGGTGTGTCTTACCAGCCTTCACAGGCTCTTGGAGTCCAAGCTACCTCTCTGGGCTCCAGGGACCCTGGGTGAGCCTCTGGGAGCTTTCCCACGCTATCCCATAAGTTTTGGCCTGACTTAGTTCCACTTAGCTCCCCAATAAGGGAAATGGACAGGAAATTAAAGATAACTAGGCAGTTTGAGAGGATTAAGGATAAGGGAGAGCAACATAATTATGTCATAGTTGCTATTGGACAGGAGAGCACCCAAAGGAAATGTCAATGGCCTAAACCAGCTCATTACAAGAACAAGGGCAAGGCCAGCAAGCAGATAAGGGTCCTGAGTGTGAGACAGAAACATTAATCACCCAGCAAGCCAGCCACCACAGCCCAGACTACTAGGGCAATGGACCCAAGGCCAGAAAGCCAGAGAAGCATCCTAATGGACCTGCATGGGGCAGTGACACTGCTCTGTGCTGTCTGCTCTGGCAGAGGGATGGAGGAGTGTCCACGGGCTTTGCAGCTGGCCTCCCTTGGCCTGGGCACTAAGCCAGCTCCATCCTCGGCCTGAAGGAAGAACTCTGAACCCAAGGACTCCAAGCACAGGGGAGCCTTGGTCAGTGTCATGTACTAGAAAATTCCCTGGACTAGGAGTCAAGAGATCTGGGTTCCATGCCCAATCCCGTACCATCCTAGCTTTGTGGCCTTGGACAAGTCATTTCCCCCTCTCCGGAGTCGTACCCCCATATCTACAATGAATGGGCTTTTATTTTATTTACTTTTTATATTTTTTTTACAATTTTATTTATTTATTTGACAGAGTGAGAGACAGCGAGAGAGGGAACACAAGCAGGGGGAGTGGGAGAGGGAGAAGCAGGCTCCCCGCGGAGCAGGGAGCCTGACGTGGGGCTCCATCCCAGGACCCTGGGACCATGACCTGAGCCAAAGGCAGATGCTTAACGACTGAGCCACCCAGGCACCCCTGAATGGGCTTTTAGAATAAAGAAATGAAATGAAATAATAACAGCTCACATTTGTGGAACAATTCTTCTATGAACTAGCACAGAGTTTGGCAGGTATTTTCTGTAAGGGACCAGAGAGTACAGTCTCTGTTGCAACTACTCGACTCCGCTGTTCTATAGCACAAAAACAGCCACAGAGAATGGGTAAACAAAGTAACCTGGCCGTGTTCCTATAAAACTTTATTCACAAAGACGAACAGACAGCCAAAAGGGGCCTGCGGATTGTAGCTTGCCGACCCTTGACTGAAACAAGGGGCTACGTACTTTAGCTACATTATCTCATTTGAAACTCAACCCTGGGAAGTAGATTCTACTATCATTATTCCCATTTGATATAGGGAGAAATTGAGGCACAGAGAAGTTCAGAAACTTGCCCAGTGCTGTACAGCTGGGAAATGGCAGGGCCAGTATTTGAGCCCAAGAGGTTTGGCTTCTAAACCCATGGTCTTAACTTTTGTGCTACATGGCTCCCAGGATAGGAACAATGGTGATTATTCTAACAATACTAATCATTGCTTGCATTTCCGTAGGACTCTACACGTTCACAAAAGAGCTATCAGAAATAGCAGCCATTCTCCCTGAGGAGAAAGTCATTTGGTGCTAATAATAGTTTAAAAAATGATTTAGTGCTGTTTTAATAAACTAGAGTTGACCCAATGTTATCCCTCTAATAATGTCCCTCTCACTCACTTGCGTTCAGATACGTTTCCTGGAAAGAGAGCAAACGGGCTGGAGTTCCCGCCGCCTTGCCAGGAGCGCCTGGGGAGGATGGTGGTCAGAGGCCCATCGTCTGTCAGTCACTGGGAGAGAAGCAGGGGGAAGGTGAGGAACGGATGAAATGGCCAACCACGCTGGGTTGGCATCAAGGCCTAGGGAGTCAGAATAATTATTCCCATTAGACAGCTGCAGAAGCCGAGGCTCACAGACATGCAGTGAGGTGCTTGAGGTCACACAGCTAGAAATGGCAGGCACAAGCTAGAGCCAAGGGTTGAGTAGAGCAAAAGGCCAGGAGCCAGACAGAACGGCATAAAAATTCTGCCCCTAGCACTTTCTGTGTGACCAGATCTTTCTCCTTGGGCATCAGTTTCCAAATCTGTAAGATGGGGATATGGACAGCCCCACACCTGACAGGGCCTGTTGTGAGGATCAGATGAAGTAATAAGGAATGTCTGAGGCTGCTGGGTTGTTCAGCCTGAACATGAGAAGACTCAGTAAAAAGAAAAGGGGAAAGAACCAACATCTGTGGGGCATCTACTGTGTCCCAGGAAAACTCCCAAAGCTGTCTCAGAAAATCCTCCCAGTAACTTGGAGGTAGGAATAGTTCTCTCTGCTTTACAGATAAGGAAACTGAGTCCTGAGGCCACCTAGCTAGAAAGTGATGTAGACCAAAATGGAAACCAGCCTTCTCTGTGAGTCCAGGGCACTCTGAGCATTGACAGCCTTCGGTCATGTGGGTGGAGGGTCAAATGGGAAAGCAGAGGGGTTCGTAGACTCACAGATATTTTCTGAGCACTGTTACGTGCCAGGCATTGTTCTAGGCACTGAGGATGCAGCCAGGAACAAAATAATGCCCCTGCCCCCGTGGAGCCCAAACTCTGGAGAACAAGTAAGCACACTTCAGGGGTTCCTTCCATTTTGTGGTGCCATTCCAACTCTGCCACGATCCTGGGCCAAGTGTCTGCTCCCTTCCTCATTTTACCCCCTATAAAGCCTTCCCAAAGGAAAAAAAAAAAAAATAGCACTGTCTACTCCAACCCCTCTCCCCACCAAACCGTGGTGTCCTGAGTGGCTGCCTGCCCAGGCAAGAACAAAGGCTGGAGGAGCCACTTCTCCGAGACATCATGTGCCTCCTCCTAGGGTGTGGAAGCTCAGGACCCTGGCTTGGCCTAGACCTGACCCTGGTGAGTCGTCCCTGGGAACAATGGTTCAGAGGCGTCTCCCCCAGGACTCCCACCAAGGATGGGAAGTAGGGCCTGGGACAGGCTGGCCTGGGTATTGTTTAGAAGGCACGTTTCCTGGATGAGTTGGCAGTCAGAGCCCCCAGGGTACTGGAGTGAGCCCAGGAGGGCCTGCATCTTTCCTCCTTTCCTCCAGAACAAAGCCACTATTTCGGCTCCTGTGTTCCTTCCCTCGGAGGAAGCTGCGGGCCTGCGGAGCTGAGCTCTCTGTCCTCTGGCCCAGGAACGGAACACGGGCTTACAAAGGCCTACACTGCCACACAGGAGTCGCTGCCGTGAGCCAAGAGGTTGAGAGGTCTAGACCCGGCCACAGCACTGGCACCTTCTCGCACACGCTGGAGGCCAGGGAGGCCCAGGCGGCGGGACCATGCGATGCCTCGCAGCGTGGCCGTGGGCAGCTTGCAGGCAGCACAGCACTCTGATAGTCCACCCAGGAAGCTAACAGCCCATGGCCGCACATGCGACAGTGTGGTTAGGTGGCTGTCAGCGAGCCAGGGCTTGGACAGCTGGCCGGGCAGGTGATCCACCAACTTGCTCACCAGTGGCCAGGCAAGCAGCCTGCTCTTTACTCATGCTAGTCCTGAGTGGGGGCTATGGGCATAGGCCCAAGGTGGATACTGGGGTTGGGCGGGGGAGGTGGACACCAAGGCATCCAGGCAACCAAGAGAAAGCACTAAACCCTCAGCAATGCAAAGAACTCACCCTCCACCCCCTGCCCCACCCCACCCTGTGCCTTTGATCGCAGACACAGGCCAGCCCGGGCCCTGCCCTCCACATGTCCACATTTCTTCTGCCCTCCCCACCAACCCCAGCACATCTGGGAAGAGTACTGGGCCTTTGGGCCTCACCTCTGTGTGAACCTCCTCTTTGAGCACCACACCAGCCCCGGGGAAAGAAAGAGGTTGGGAGGGGAGAGAGGGAAGGAGAAATTCTCCCCGTCTTCCCCCTCTGAATACAGCTTGCTGGGGCTCAGAAGAGTCAAGCCTCTCGCCGAAGGTCCTCCAGCAAAATATGCAACCATCGTTCTGAGCCCTGACCTTCCTTCCACGGGCTGAGGCCTCAAGGAATCCCATAGTATCAAGTAGAAAGAACTGGGGAATGTGCCCCTGGACGACAGAAAAGCAGAAAGCCACCTGTTTCTTCTCCATCCCCTAGCCATGCAGATAAATATAACACCCCTCCTGTTACAGTTCCTGTTTACAGAGCATTTTCCATGTGTTCCTTCTTTCAATCCTCTCAACATCCCTGGCAGCAGGCTATTATTATTCTTTTCCCCATTGTACAGATGAGCAAAGTGAGTGTCATTCAGTCAAAGTGACTTACTTGCCCAAGGTCACTCAGCTAGGAAGAGGTGGCACCAGGATTTTATGTCAGGCCCATGATCCCTAGAAGCCCTGGATGACCCCGCCCCCCCATCTTCAATGGAAAACTTTAAGGCTTTCAGGAAGACAGCCTGGTCTGCAACTTAGTAGGTATCTATGGACCCTTTGGTTCCTAGGGTACTATCATGTTGGAGTGCTAATGCTAGCCTGCCAGGCCTCCTAGCAATCCCCAGCCCTAACACCTTACCTGCACTTCCCCCAGCCCCTGTGGATGCTGCCTGGTTGGCCTGAGGAGCAGGGGCCTGGGCCCACCTCCCCAGCACCCAGGCTCCTAGAGTCAAGCTGCCCATCAGCAAGTCTCCCTGCTCAGCCTATGGCATGGCTCAGGGGCTGGGGGTGGGGTGGTGCTGGGGAGGGAAGCCTGAGTCATCCCCAGGCCAGGAAGCACAATGTTTGGCAGGATTCCTGGGCCCAGCTAAGGAAGGAGCAGGGGCATTGAGTTACAGAGGCTGGCTAGGGCAAGGAAGAGGCAGTGGGGAAGGGGGTGTGGGTAAGTCCATGGAGATGGGAGACTCACAGCAAATTGGGGTCCACAGGCTCCAGCCAGGGGGGAAGGACCCAGGGAGCACTTGGAGGGGGTACCTGGTGACAGAGGGGCACAGAGAGGTCAGGGGACCTTTGTTCCGTCCAGTCCTCCGTCCCAAGCCAGGCCCCCCCCAGCCGGGGCTCTCTCTCCCCCTACAGAGCTGTGCGACAGCTGGGGCAGTTCCAGAGGCGGGATCCTCCTCAACCCCACAGGGGGAGGGCGCCACCTCCTGCCACCTCCCTCCACCTCTTCCTGTCACGTCCTTGGCCACCAGTGGTTCAAAATATACTGGTTCTTGGCTGGCTGTTTACTTAAGAATCAAAAACATCAAGTTTTAAATTCATTCCCATGGCTTTAGCTCACACCTCTCAGCAGACGGGGCCAGTCCAAGCGGCTCCTTGAGCTGCAGGCCCACAGAGTTGACAGCTGACTCAGTATGTCTTCTGGGGTGACCCTCAGATGCCTCCAGGTCAGCTCTAAACTCATCTCTCTCCACCAGCAAAATAAAATCCATCCTCTGCCCTTAGCAATAGTATCGCCATCCATCAGCTGAGCATCATTCTTGACGTGTCTCTCCCCTTCCTTCCTTCCTTCCTTCCTTCCTTTCCTTCCTTCCTTCCTTCCTTCCTTCCGCATGTATAGGACATGTGTCAGCACTGGGCATGGAGGTGGTTGACAGTGGTGAACAAGTCAGTCATGATCCCTGCCCTCCCACAGCTTACAGAAAACCGCCATCTATGTTACTAAGGACCAAGATGGGAGTAGTCCAAGGGGCCAAAGGAGCCTAGAAGAGGGGTGGGGATCATGGAGGTCCAGCTTTCTAGCTGACGCCTGAATGGTGACTAGTGCCACATGAGCCTACACTCAGACCATTTCACAGACCTCCAGATGGTCCTTTGTCTCTAGGTCTTGGACCTTCCCATGCTCCCATCCAGCCTCCAACCATGAGGGGAAGAACCGTTATAAGTGTCAAAGGCGATCATATCACTTACCCTGCTTCAAGTATATCCATAGCTCCCCACGGCTCTCAGGATAAAGTCAGGTTTCTCATCTGGGTGGACACACAGCCCTTCCCATTCTGAGCACGTCTGCTGAGGGCCTCAGTCCTATCTCTGGCCTATCATACCACATGTTCTCTCCACAGGGCCCTGGGCGGCTGGGCCCAGGTGTAGCACCCCTCCTGGCGTTTGCCTCCACTGTGTCCTCCCACTTGACTCCTCTTCTCTGTCTTCGGCACGCTCTCCTTCATGCTTCGAGGTTGGAGCTCCAAAGTCCCCTTCCTGTCTCTTCCCAACCCCCTTCCTTTGCCCCTCCCCAAAGTAGGGCAATTACCATCTTGCTCCCAGTTCAGTGCTCTTAGGAGCCTTGCCTGTCATTTTGGAGAGCCCCTGCCAGGAATCTGCTGCTCAGCTTCATTCTGTTTGTGCTTCTGCTCTGTCCCTCTGGCAACAGCTTCCCAGCTTAGACCCCAAGAATCTACCCCAAAGCCCAAATCTGGCCCCGCTTCCTTGCTTCCTTGCAGACTTACTGTGGGAGCCCAGCTGCACTGTGGCCTCTCCAATCTTGAATTCCAGCAGCGTCTAAACTGCAGAAGTCTTCCTGGTCAGAGAGTCCCATGGAAGCTTGGCCCTGCTCTTTTCGGCCTCCCCTCCTCCCAGCATCCGGTGGCTAAGCAGCCTGGGCTAGAATTGCCTAGAACGGGGTCAGGGCTTGCAGCCTTGGCTAGGATTGCCTAGAACGGGGTCAGGGCTTGCGTAGCCCAGGAGAAAAGTGGAAGCTGGTGAGGGGCTCCCCAGGGAGAGGAAGAGGCCTGCAGTCTGGGATGGACACCCAGCTCCATCTTGGGGAGAGGATGGGGCAGCCAGACTGGTTCGCCCCTGCAG